GTATAAGTGTTAAATTTAATGAAAAAGTAATCAAGTTTTTTATGTAGCCTCTTATGAACTGTACTTTAAATCAGTATCTATTTTCTGTTTCTAGAAAAAACTTAAAACGTGCAGTCCTGAATTTTTCAACAGGGATGCCAGTGGCATATTGGTGGGGTCAGTTCTTCATTTTGTAGTCTTGAGCAGGAATTGCAGGACTTAAAGTGTTCCTGGTTCAGAGTACCAAATGTCATTCTTACCTTCAAGTTATTGTAATAGCCAGCATCACCCTTCCTCCTCCCTTCTTATTTCCATATGCCCTCAAATAGGTGATACCACCCCAAGTTTGTTCTGCTAGTTGGTTCCAGTGATTTTTAGGTAGGAGTGTGCATTAGAAATAACTGTAGAGGTTTTAAAAAAATGCAGGTGCCCAGGCCTCAGGTCTAGAGATTCTGTCTTTAAATCTGTGGTGGGTGCCAGCCATCTGTATTTAACGTGCACACACAATTCTCATGTATTTTCTAGTTGAGAACCAGTGTTACTGACTGGGTTAATAGTGTCATCTTTATGGATAATTTCTTTCTCAAAAGGTTAATTGAAATCAGAATCCATATAAAGCAGTAGTATGTGGTACCTGGCCCTTAGAAAGCCCTTATTAAATAATAGTTAACATCATAGGAAAAAGACTGAAATTCCCCAGATAGTGTCCTCCTCTAATTTGGTTCTTATTCTGGTATGAAATGCTAATTCCTATACTCGTCTGTAAATTTAAAGATGATAAATTATCTCTCTGAGATATACAACACATCACATATACCATACACACACACTATATGTATATAATTCTTGTAATATGTATAAGATTCTCAAAGATTAAAAGAGTATTCAAAGTGTATAACATTTTTGAGCCTTTCTTAGCCTTCCACAGAATGTATAATATAAAAATTGAATTATTTTTATTGGAGGCATGGGGGTTTTACATGCTTTATAGCATTTGAACCCAAAAGACAGCTGTGAGTGATAAGGCCATAATTCTATCACAGGCTTTTAGTGATTCAATAAAAGACAAAGGAAAAATCTAAGACCCAAATAATTGATAGGATTTTAAGAGGAATCTCTTTCCCACAGGTGTTTCATGCAATCGGCTTGGTCAGCATTCATGTCTCCGTTGTAAGGTATACTTACGTATTTTTTCTTTTTAGATTTTTTTTTTTTAATCCCTTTACTCCTCCACCAGTCCTTGGATTATTTATAACTGTAATTAATCTGTAAGGGACCTTAAATTTATGTAGTTTAATTCTTTTATTTTTGAGATTGTAGAATTGAAATTGAGAAAGCTTTAAGTGCCTTTCCAGTGGTCATCCAGTTGGCTAGCAGTAGAGTTGCCACTAGTGAACCTATCTCTAGAATCCTGGCTCAGTGCTTTTTATACCTTATATTTATGGAGAACATTCTGACCAAAGTAATGGAAGCATATTTTAATAAATGTCAGAACGTTCTGCTTAGAAGAATTTGATTAAAGTAAAGATTTCCATAATATTCTGTGTTCTTAGTCATTGCCTCTAGCATTTCTGTTTGTCAGAGATCACTAAACAGATGTAGTCAATTCACTTTCTCTCAGAAATGTTTCTCTGGTTCTTATTCTTATATTCCTAACCCTTTTTTTTTTTTTTTTTGAGACAATCTCACTCTGTTGCCCAGGCCAGAGTGCTGTGGTGTTAGCCTAGCTCACAGCAACCTCAAACTCTTGGGCTCAAGTGATCCTCCCGCCTCGGCCTGTAAGAGTGCTAAGGTTATAGGCATGAACCACGGCTCCCGGCCTTCTATTTCTCTAACAACTCTGCTCCAGTTTTACTAAATGGATTTCAGTTTGTTGGAGGTGTTCAAGCTCTTAAGTTTTCAGGCACTGTCTGCACTGTTTCCTCTGCCTAGAACATTATTCCGTCTTTGCTTGCCCTGCTATACCCGTGTTCTCCTTCAGATCTCAGCTAAGACTTTGTCTCCCAAGAATCCTTTCCTGAATCCCATGCCTTTTTTAGTGCCCCTCTTCTGCTCTCTTTCTATGCTTAGTGTCTTGTGTTAATAATTGCCTCTTCACTGTCTCTGTTCCCAATCAGACCATATACTCTGTGAATAAATAGGCTCTGTTCATCATTATTTCATCAGGGACTTTGTGAATACTCAAATATTTATGAATGACTAAATGTACCTACATGTCATACTCTGTGTATAGTTAGTCTTCCTTGTGTTAGATCCTGGTTCAGAAGAGTCCTGGCAAAAACCATTTTCCTTAAGAAACTGAAATGAGGACTGTGACTGGTCCCAACAAAATTCTTACTTTCTCTCTCTGTCTTAACAAAACTCTATTGTTAAATTTCCTTGAAATATTGAATACTGTCTTTTTACATACTTTACAATTTTTATTTATTTTGCTTATCCTGTATAGGCTTGTTTCTGTGATGATCACACAAGGAGCAAGGTGTTTAAGCAAGAAAAAGGAAAACGGCCTCCTTGCCCTAAATGTGGACACGAGACTCAGGAGACTAAGGATCTTAGCATGTCAAGTAAGGCTCTTCTTAAAATACCAATGGAGTGATTTTGCTTTAATGCTTAGACAAGCATATCTTTTTTCTCCATTCCATCCATTCATCTTATTACTTCTTCTTCCTATTTGAAAAGATGAATGTGTTCTCTTAAGCAAGTACAATTTTACAGCCTAGGAAAATATGTGGGTAAAATTTTTCAATTTAACTTAAGAAATATACCAGTATTCACTATGATACTTGATATTTGCCTTAGTTAATGACAGCGAATCCTGAAATTTAAGATAAAAAAAAGTGATTTTTTTTGTTTTTATTGAGACTTCCTTTTTAAATAATTGAGTGGCTATAAATTCTTAATATTCAAGTGGTAGTAATCTTCAGTACTTGGAAGTCAAATTCATTCTGAAGCTGTTCTTAGGTATGTGGTATTTGAGCAGCTATGTTTTTATGTAATATATTACTACTATAAAAAGTTGTTTTATATAACTTTTTTATGAAAGAGTAAGACTACTACAAACACGGTTATAGTAATGTAGCTCACAATTTTGTTAAAGAGAAATTTGACTCTTTAACAGAATGGTACCATTAATTCTAAATGACTGACAGTACTTTCTTTAATCAAAGATGTAGTTGCACAATGCAGTGATTTTACAACTAAAAGACTGATGATTTTGCTGATCTTCTGCACTAAACTTTATGTAACTATTAAGGTAGAAGAAATGAAAGCCTTTGTTTTTCATGGTATCTGCATTATAAAATAACTGTTTTAAGAAAAATGTAGTGGTAGGAAATCAACTCTGTTATGTGATTTGAAATAAACTTGTCATTAACCAAACAAAAGGTATTTTAGTTTTTAATATGCCTTATTATCTTTGGAGTGTTCTGTTGCTCTAATTTTGTTTTCTAAGTTTTTCTAAGTTTAATGAAATGACATTGTAATCTTTGTAATATTTGTTACAGTGTGCATATAGACTTATTACATGAGAAAATTAGTAAAATATATTTTTTCATTTGGGAATAAAGCAGCCAGTGAAGTTCATGTAATTTTATATATGGTAGAGAAAAATGAGGATGTAGAGAATTGGAACTAAGAAAATGCCATGTGCATGTTTGTCTTTTGTAGCACGCTCCCTGAAATTTGGCAGGCAGACTGGAGCCGAAGAGGGAGATGGAGCTTCTGGGTATGATGCTTATTGGAAGAACCTTTCATCTGACAAGTATGGTGATACTGGGTACCATGATGAGGAGGAGGATGAGTATGAAGGAGAGGATGATGAAGAGGAAGAAGATGAAAGCAGAAAGGATTCAGATACCGAGTCATCAGATTTGTTTACTAATTTGAATTTAGGAAGGACCTATGCCAGTGGCTATGCTCACTATGAGGAACAAGACAACTAGGAGAGCTGCTTGCCTACTGGTGGCCGTGTGTGAGAGGAGCAGGAACATGTGTGGTGGATGAATGTTGTGTAGATGATGAATCATGGATGGATGTTTAAAAGTACCATTGCTTAGCCTTGTGCAAAAGACTAGTTACTGGGCCAAGGAGTAGGGCATAGCATTTTTATAGGAACCAGTAATCAAGCTTATATCATAAGAAAAATGAATTTCAAATGTAAGATGTATATTGATCCAAGCAATTGAAGCGTCATGGAATTTGATTGTTACCTGATTTCAGTAATCTAGTAGGTTTTGCCAATTAGATACATATATATAGGATAAAGGAATAGAATGGTAATATATTTGAAATGAAATTGCTGTTTTTATTTAAACACTGCTTATAAATTCATTGTGTATGATTTTGTAAAATGTGTTGGGTAAAATGGATTACCATCTTTTTCCTTTTTATGTTCACAGAATGAAAATCATGTCATTATATTCTAAATTTTCATTAAATATTCATGTTATTTTAAATAGTCATGTATGTTTTAGCATTTGACTCATTCATCCCTTTCTTCACAATCTATGTCCTGAACAGTTCCTATTATTAATGCCTAAATGTATTGACAAAGATGATTACTCAGCCATTTCTCAGAGACACAATATCAGAAATAGTATTATTACAGATGCTTTACCTAGGAAGTTTCATTTCTCTTTGAATAAATCTAGTATTTCACTTACTTTTGATATTTTATTTCTTGTTTTGTATTTTCAACTTAGTTTGGAAAGCATTCCAATATTTTTTTATAGACTGTTTCTTTCTTTTTTGCTAATATGGAAGTAGATAGCAGAAGTTAATTGTGTGGTATACACAAAGATAAGTAAGCCAGATCCCATCATTGATGACAGGTGGAGAACAGACAGGCCCTGGCACAAGTTCCAATTGTTACAACTTACATTGGCAATGAATTATAATAGGACGGTGTGATTGTAGAAGAGAAAGCATGGCTGGCATTTTAGCTGTGTGGACTAAATTGTAGCTATGAGGATAACAGGGCTGGATGCTTATTGTTAAGCCATTCTTGTTCAATAGAGACATAATGAACAGCTGAGGACAGTAAAAGGCAATGGAAAGCCAGATGTGAAAGCCAGAGGGGTTCGAGTGCATGTGAAAAAGCTTAGTTGGGAGGTGCTGGACCTGAAGTGGGAAGAAATAGACTATACCCCAAAGGAATTGCAAGAATTGGCCAACATATGCTCGGAAGAGCTGGAGAAGTATGCCTGAGACTGGAATCAGAGTGCTTAAGAGAGGACATAAAATTAGGGTGGAGTTCGATGGTAGCCCCCACGTTGGGTCATAGGATTGCAGGATAAGAGCTATCTTAAGTTAGATGGTTTAACACCCAGCTAGGATCCTGGGAGATGATGTGAACTCATTATCAGGATGGCTTCTAGAAGTATGGAAAAAGTAATGGCCCATTCTGAGCAAAGTTGAAATGCCAAGATCACTGTGACGTAGTGGAGAAAAGGGATTTAAGAAGTTGAGGGAAGTGGGTGCTGGAATGGATAGACTGGCTGGAAGATCCATCAGATTATTACGTTCCATGGGAAGGCTCAGTGTTCCAGAGGGAGGAGATAAACCTTGTAAACTCTTAAAAATGCCACACTCTTAAAATTTCTAGGGTTCCAGTGGTGAGGGACAGACTGGTGTGTCACCTTCAAAGTGTAAAGTAAATGACTACATGTACCCTCTTACCCTGAAGAAGGAAGCACAGTGCCTGGTGATCCTTCTTGAGTTTAGGAGGCAACATACTTCACTGCCTCCTGCATATTTCACTGAGGATAGTCTTCTGGTTCCTATACCAGTTGATACAAAAGGCCACCGAATTTGAGTGGGGCCCATGGCAGGAAAGGGCTCTGTAGCAGCTCTAGGTTACAGTGGAAGCAGCTTTGCTTTCTGGACCACTGGGTAGATGCTATTATATTAGAGATATTAGTGATGGAATAAGGTGTGTTGTGCCATGCTGCATTAGGAGAATCACAATGCAGGCCCCTGGGTTCTAGAGGAAGTTTATGCCATCTGCATTTAGAGACTTATATACCCCCTGGGCCAGACAGCATGGTTTCTCCAGCTTACCAAGGCCGATCTAGTTACCACCACTGCCAGTGTCAGAACTGTCAGCAGCAGATGCAAGTGCTGAGCCCCTGCTGGGGCATCGTTGCTTTAGGAGACAAATCAGACCAGCCATACTGGAAAGGCCAGTGGTTCATTTTCAGTGGAATAGATTCACATTCTTGGAATGGGTTTAGCTTTCCTTCCAGTAGGACCTCATCCGGCATAAGTACCTGAGAGCTTATGGGGTATTTGATTCACTGGCATGAGAGTCCCACATAACATGTGTCAGCTCAGGGGATCGCCTACGCAAAGGAAGTGCAGTAATAGGCCTGTGACCATGGGATCCACTGGTCAAATCACATGCTACGCCACCCAGAAACTTCCTGCCTCATGATATGTTACAGCTGTGTGCTGAAGACACAGCTGAAGCAGCAGCTCGGAGGCAATACTCTGCAAGGATCTCATACCATCCTGCAAGCCACCGATATGCATCAAATCACAGACATTTCTACTCCATTGTGTTCCTAATAGAGAAAGTGCGTGTGTGGTAGGTTGAATAGTGTCACCCCAAAGTTCACGTCCACCTGAAATGTCAGAATGTGACCTTCTTTGGAAGTAGGGTCCTTGCAGGTATAACTAGTTAAGATGAGGTCATACTGGGTCAGGGTGGGCCCTTATCTAAGACTGGTGTCGTCATAAGAAGAGGAGAGGACACGCAGATAGATGCACACAAAAGAAGGCCATGAGAAGATGGAATCAGAGATTGGACTGATACAGCTACAAGCCAAGGAATGCCAAGGATTGCTCACAGCCACCAGAAGCCAGGAGAGAAACATGGAACAGATTGTCTCTCAGAACTTCAGAAGGAATAAACCCTGCCAACACCTTAATTTTGGACTTCGGCCCTTCATAACTGTGAGAAAATAAATTTTCCATTGTTTAAGCCACCTAGCTTGTGATTATTACTGCAACCTTAGGAAACGAATATACCATGAGGATTAGGAGTGGAAGCGGGAGTTGCCACCGCTCTCAACGGTTCACTGGGGAGCATTTGTTTCCCATCTCCACAACTCCAGGCTCTGAATGGTTAGGATTCTCTGTCGTCAAGGGGGGCACCTTTCTTCAGTGTGCTCAATAAGTGCCTCATTATTATATTTATAAGCTATGCCTACCAACTTGGTACTTGTGTTTTTTTTATGTCCAAGGACCAAGAGGCAAGAAGAGAAATCATTGTCTTTGCAGAGATAAGTGACTCTCTTCGTCAGAAGTAGGTAAGGTTGCTTTTACACAGTGGGGACAGGGAGGATTATGAGTGGAATCCAGGCAATTCACTTGAGTTTTCTAGGTGTTTCTTTGGCCACTTGTGACTATAAATGGACATGGATGGACATGGCCAACAAACCCAGCCTGTGAAGGGCACAGTGACTAGACCCTGTGGGGATGAGAGTTTCAGTCATGCAGCCAGAGCCCAGCCACCGAGCCCAGCAGAGGCGGTAGCTGTCATGTAGCTTCAGGATTTGCCTCAGCTGCGGAGAGGTGCCTTGGCTGTAATCAAGCCCTTCCCGGGGCAAAGCATGCATCTGGTGACTGAGTAACCGGTTTGGCTATTTGGACTCAACATGGTCCAATTATGACAGCTATTCAGTTAATGTCCCTATACAGGATCTAATGGCTGACACTTAAGAACACGAGGTAAATATATTTTCCTCCTCTGCATTTTGGTCATGGTTTGGCAAACTCTTTGTGGGAATATTGTAATGATATATGTGAGGGTGACCTTTATAAGTCACCTACAAGCTTCTGCTCATGCAGAATGTATTAGTCCATTTCAGAAAGTGAATAGACCATATAGCATGCACACCTCTGCTTTGCAAAATGACCCTTGTTACTTATTTGCCTAATGGGAACAATTCAAAGGATGAAACTTAATATATTAAGCCTTAATAATATTTTGTGGAATCAGACATAGTACGATGATAAATCAGACATATCGAAGCATTCTTAATAAGGAATCAGAGTTAAAATATGATGTACATAGAGGCAAGGACATTTTTGTTAAAGAGCTTTTGTGGGAAAGAAAAAGGATATGCTAACTGCAATTGACTAATTTGCATAACCCAACTTAGCCATCAAACGGCAGCATTTTTTACCTTAAATCCAGGTAAAAATTCGGTTAGCATTTGCTACATAACTATCGTCAAAATACTAGAACAGGAGGACAGATGAAAGGTTTAAAGATAAGCAAGGTGTTATTTAAGCCCTTAAAGCTTGAATTTTATTAGAGAAAATAAGATGCAATACAATGTGTTTTCTGTACTGCCCAACTGGCTTTACCTGCCTGAGCTCATTAAATGCTCACAACAGAGGTAGTATGCTGAATTTAGCTCCCGAGGCAAGCAAGCCAGGTTGCTGTGCTTACCCTGCTCTGGACCAGAAAACATCTGTGCGGAATTCTGAAAAAGGACTTTCAGAAATCTTCTCAGCACCTTTAGAATCAATTAATCATGTTCCAAACTGATTTCAAAGGAGCAACAGATATTTTAAATATAAATTTACTGATATGTTTGTGTATATTTCACTGATCCATTTTTTATTTGGGGAATCATATATTGCTTCAAATCTTAAGTTTATCACTTCTTAAATATTAACTTCTTTTCCTAAGTTTCCTCATCTATAAAGAGGAGGTAGTAACTCGTAAGGCTATTTTGATGATTAAATAAAAAAAAAAAAA